TTGATATTTTATTCAATGTATTTCAATAAATGTTAATACAACTTCAGAACAGAAATGAAAATTTTTTCGTATTTCCCATTCATTTCTTATGTCGGTAATTTTTGACTGCGAAGAAGTCAAGTGTGACAATTTTTTTTTTGACCCTTTAAATATCCAAATCATGTCTATGATTTTTTTTGTGTGTTCATATTGCTAATGTGACAAAAGTCACCAATTGTCATCTCATTCTGATGAAGCTAAGATTTTTAAAATGTTCAAAATATAACATTTTTTGGTCAAAAATGACCGAGGGCCAGAGGGTTAATATCTCAGCTGTTTTTCTTAAACAGCAATTAGATTACAAGGAGAACAAAGGAAGGTTTTTGCATTATAGATTTAAAAGAAAATAGATTAATTCAAATGTTTTGAAACATCCAGTTGGTGAAACATTTCAGTATGTAGTCAAGATATTTCTCACAAAATTCTCCTTAATGCCAATCTAAGCTGCAGATTTCACTTTCATTATAAAGCTCTAAGTTCTTCCTGAATGTCAATAATTAATTAACTTGTTTCACTCAAAGGGATTTAGGAGACATCACTTTTATTTAATGATTTTAATGACAAAGATTTCATACAGCGGGTAAAACAAATAAGTATTGAACACGTCACCATTTTTCTCAGTAAATATATTTCTAAAGGTGCTGTTGACTTGAAATTTTCACCAGATGTTTGTAACAACCCAAGTAATCCATATATGCAAAGAAAACAAAACAAATAAAATCAGAAATTAAGTTCTGTGTAATAAAATGGAACGACACAGGGAAAAAGTATTGAACACATGAAGAAAGGGAGGTGCAAAAAGGCATGGAAATCTCAACTGGTTTCAGAGAAAGAAAATAAAGCTGCTAGAATGGCCAGGCGAATCACCTGACTTGAATCCAATAGAAAATCTATGGAAAGAACTAAAGATTAGAGTTCACAGAAGAGGCACACAGAACCTTCAAGATTTGAAGACACTGTGGAAGAATGGGCCAAAATCACACCTGAGCAATGCATACGACTAGTTTCTCCATACAGGAGGCATCTTGAAGCTGTCATTACCAACAAAGGCTTTTGTAGGAAGTATTAAATGAATTTAATTAGTTCAATACTTTTCCCCTGGGTCATTCCATTTTATTACACCTAACTTAATTTCTGAATTTATTTGTTTTGTTTTCTTTGTATGTATGGATTACTTGGGTTGTTACCAACATCTGGTGAACATTTTATGGCCACAGCACCTTCAGAAATATATTTACTGAGATGTTGACGTGTTCAATACTTATTTTACCTGCTGTAAGTCTCCCTATAAAAAGCAACTTCTAAGTAATAAAATGTTTCAATAAAAATTTGTAATAAATCAATGTCTTAAAAAATGAACAAACTGAATAAAAGTGTATTTATGTTCTTTCATTCATAGTCTAAAACATTTTCTTTGCACATTTTAATCAAGGTGTTTGCTTTAAAAAGAAAGTCCAAGTCACTCGGCAATACGTAATGCAGTATAGTCATCAGAATCTGATTATAAATGTTATACATCATATATTAAACAGCACTTAATTGCTGAAGCAACTGTGCCAACTACAATAGAAATGCTGCTGGAAAAGAAGTCCTAACTAATCGTTGACCAATTTGTGTTTTTAAAAGACTAATACCAATATTTAGAAAGCAGGACAGCTGATGTCCTTTATGAAACAATACTATTAACTAAAGACATGCCGAAATGCATACAAATTGAGGGAACTGACTGAACGATTGCATAACATTTACTTAAACACAAATGGTTCTCAAACAGATGACTTAAAATTATTTAAAATAAGACAAGGTTTAAAATAAGCTAAACCATTACAAATCAAATACTTCTAATTCACCCCCTCCACAACAAGGATGTGGAAACCTGTTTTTAAAGGTGTGATTTCTAGACCTGGAAAAGTCATTTAAATGAATACAATTTTAAAACACCTTAGACACTTTTATAAAGAATGTACATTTTGCTTGCCAAGCTCTAAAATATTCCATCAGGTAGAAATTGAGTAAAAATATTAGTAAAATTCCTTATCCAGTAATTCATGAACAACTGGACAAGTCATGCCGATTCACTGGTTAAAAATAGCGGGAACCCTAAAGAATATTCAGCACTTTAAACTTTTGGAATCTTGACATTTAATTTACAGAAACTAGGAGAGTCGGGCCTTTGAATATTGTTGCAGTCAAAGGTTGAGAACCACTGCTGTATCTATCACTAGACCTAACTATAGAGATATTGAATGAAAAACATGCTTAAAGGGTTAGTTCACCCAAAAAAATTAAAATTATTTGATCATTCAAGCTGTTTCATGGCACTCAGCGGGTGTTGCATGCATCAGTCCAAAAGAAGTTAAATAAAAAGCGCCCATCCATTTAAAAAAAAGTGTCTCACACGGCTCCGGGGGCTGAACAATCTCTCCCCTGCGCTTCCGTGTTCGTCACTTCTGAGCGGCGCATGTGCAACGCTAACCTCATACGTCATCCGCCCAGACCTGCTTCCGCATACAACAGTGAGCGCAAGCTACATTAAAGTGATTATTACGTTTTGAATATGGATATTTTTCTTACAAAAATGCATCGATTTGCTACAGAAGGCCTCTGTTCACCCCCCGGAGCCGTGTGAGACACTTTTTATTATGGATGGGCGCTTTTTATTTAACTTCTTTTGGACTGAAGCACGATAACACCCGCTGAGTGCCATTAAACAGATTGAAAGATCAAAGACAATTTTTAATATAACTCCGACTGGATTAATCTGAAAGAAGAAAGTCATATACACCTAGGATGACTTGAGGGTGAGTAATTTATGGGCTAATTTTCATTTTTGGGTGAACTAACCCTTTAATTTCCTTTATTTCACACTAGGTTATCTCTCAAACCCTCGCTACTTTGGAGCTGTGGTAGGCCGGGTTGCAAACCGCATTGCCAAGGGCCGGTTTGTGGTAGATGAGAAAGAATATAAACTGTCTATTAACAATGGACCCAATGCTCTGCATGGAGGACTGAAGGGCTTTGACAAGGTAAATTTGAAATGAAAACCATCTCTATCCTTATTCTCCAAAACAAGCTTTGATATCGTGAGTCAGCAGACATAATTTCTTTAAGGACGTTTGTGTGTTGTAGGCCGTGTGGACCACAGAGGCGGTGGATAATGGAGTGAAGCTGAGTCACAGCAGTCCAGATGGTGATGAGGGTTATCCTGGGAACCTAAACGCTTCTGTCACTTACAGACTGGAGAAGAACACACTGAGTGTACTGTACTATGCACAGACTGACCGTACTACACCCATCAACCTCACCAACCATTCATACTTCAACCTGGCTGGACAGGTAGGGCTACAAGCACACAGTTTATAAACCTCGTCTTACACTGCATGGTTAAAGTCTGTGTGAACTGTCTTTTGTGGACACAACAGGTGTATTCCTACTCTTAATGAATGCTTTTTCGGATCTGCAGGGGACACCAGACATTTACGACCATGAGGTGACAATCTCAGCAGAGTCGTACCTGCCTGTGGATGATACGATGATCCCCACAGGTATTTTTATCCCATTATTTTAGAGAATCCGATCTATTAAACGTCTATGACCAGAAACTGTCAAGCATGGTTTTGTGTGGTTTCTTTACTATGTACAGGGGAGGTGAAACCTGTGGACAAGACCCTGTTTGACCTGAGAAAGCCTGTCCTCCTGGGCTCTAGACTGAAAGAGCTGCCTGGTCCAGGCTTTGATCACAACTTCTGTCTGTGTTCACCTGGTGATCCGCCACTGGAGCGAAAATGTGCTCGGTAACCCGTTATTTCAATTGGATTATTAAGCCTACGTGATTACTCTATATGTGCCTTAATATTACTGCACGTGTTGGTCTGTGTAGAGTGGTGCATCCTGGGACGGGTCGTGTTCTGGAGGTGAGCACTACACAGCCTGGGGTTCAGTTCTACACGTCCAACTTCCTGGATGGGACATTGAAAGGAAAGGGTGGAGCTGCTTACTCCAAACACAGTGCCTTCTGTTTAGAGACCCAAAACTGGCCAGATGCTGTTAACCAGGTACTGTAAATGAATTAAAAGTACATTTTAGTTCAGACCAAAATAAATAGTAAAACGTACACTATTCAAAAGTTTGAGGTCAGTAGGATATTATTTTTGATACTGCTATTCTGTTGGGTGATCAAAGTTGACACTAAAGACAATGTTGCAAAATGTTCTTCTGAACTTTCTACTAATCAGAAAATCCTGAAAATAATACTTCAAAATTTTACTGTATTTTCGATCAAATAATACAGCCTTGGTGTGCATGAGACGTAAATTAAATTGTTCAAACAATTTAATAGATATATATATATATATGTATATATGTGTGTGTGATGTTTTTGCTTTATAAAGAAAGCTAATGTTTCTGAATTAATGAGAGATCTCTTGTCTCTTCTCAGCCTCATTTTCCTGATGCTCTGCTGAGGCCAGGAGAGACGTACACACACACAACATGCTTCACATTCTCAGTGCTCTGAAATTACATCAGCATGTGAAGTTTACTTTTACATAACGGTACACAACTGCACACTTTTCTAGCAGAATGTTACATGACCAACATAATGTACTGCTTCTATGACCATGATATTGTATTTCTAGAGTTTGCTCATGTTTTAGTAGGGGATATTTGTTCCCCCTACCATAAATCCTACACTAACACGATTACTACTAAAAGTTAAAAGACATGAAGGTTTGCTTGTAATCATACATTTTAATGTCATCTAATAAAAACAAAGCCTGTAATTTGTTTACAAAATATAATTTTTTTGAGGTGAATACCATAATAGCGTTATCCAAAAAAATGCAGTCATGTAATGAGACAGCTGTAACATTTTTAAATTTACACAAATTATATAAACGCAATAGAATACAATTTTTTTTTTTTTTTTTTTTTAAGAAGAAAATCCATTATTTTTAACCCAGTTCATTTATTTTTAAATACACTTGATATTGCATATTTTGGCAAACGTATGACTTTTCATAGTAGTCCCACATTATAATAGAAGTTAATAATTCAAAACACAATAAGTGTCTTTTATAATTTGGCACAATTCATACTCACAAATACCTCATGCCATACATTCAGGATTTATGCACATGCTGTCTTGTTGCTATAATATTGCATTAAAGCAGTCCAATATGGACTCTGGGATTTAGGAAATGTCTGTGTGAAATCACACAATGCCAAAGTATATTTTCTGCATCTACTCTACAAAAGAAAATGAAAATGTTTCAAGTGCCTCCACAAAGTTCAACAAAATCTGAAAAAAGGCTGTTTTCAGGTGAGCATCCCGCTGTTATTTAATTGTGAATAGTGTGTGAGAAGAACGTTGATGCTACTGTGTGGAGATGAGCGACACTATGGTGTGTATGATGCGAGACCCTCGAGGACAGCTGATCAGATCCATGCTGGGATTTCTGATCTTCTCCTCTAAGAGCTGATCCAGCTCCCACCGCAGCTCTTTCACCAGCTCAGCCACCTACACAAACACAGTCTGAAATCAAACACTGCCATAGCATGATATGATATTCTAGTGCAAGTCTCTTTTACCTCATGAGACGCAGCTGCAAATCTGATCCAGCCGTCGTCCAGAGAGATGATGAACTCTCCACGCTGCAGCTCCACGCTCACTTGCCCGCCACCGAACAGCACCATGGGATACACGCACACCATGCTACAGTCACGGAGAAACACTCGACTGGTCTTCACTTTCTCATGGTACACCAGGTATGGGCTGTCATAGTGCCGCACCTACAGAGAGGAACTCTTTTTCAGTAATAAATACATACATTTTTAGATGCCAAGTCAGAGCGGATGTAGTTTAGGTGAGATAGTTACAGAGAAGTTGACAGACGAGGGGTGTATGTGGACGGCTCCATCACTCTTGGTCATGAAGCACAGCTCCTCTGCTTTAGGCTGCATCTTCACAGCTCCTTTACTAGTGAGCTTATACTTCCCCTGAGGAGATCTCACCTAAATAAAGCATGGCGTGTTTCATACACATTCACGTGAAACATCTTACACACCAGTTCAGAGAAATCTGTGCACTGACCTGGACTACGTTAGGGTAGAGAGCCGCACACAACATGGCTGACATCAGCTTTGTGTTATCAGAGTTCAGGTTGGCCTGTGAGGGACAGAAAAACAAGAGTTGATTGTTTTTACATCTTGTATTGATTTTACCCAAGAGTATAAAACAACACATACTTAAACCTACCACTGAACAATTTCATATATTACTAGTGTCAAAAAACACTCGCTGTCCAGAAGAGATGAGATAAAACATCTTACAAATAGTTTGTACAAAACAGCACATTTTCCAAACTGATGTTAATCAAAGAATGATCACTAGAATATGTGATCAAATGCACCATTTCATCTAATGTTCTCTTTATTTTAACATAATTATATTACATTGATATTCATTAACACTCACTACATCTAAAACAAGCAGTCTTAGACTGTTAATAAATAAATTGAATATTTAATTTAAGAAAAACTAAAATATTTATATAAATATTAATTACTTTTATATTTTAATTTCAATTTTACAACTAAAAATCCTTCAGAAGGTTTCAAAGCTGTGTTGTCAACACTGTCAGAAATGTATGAAAATGCGCAAAAATTTAAATTCTGTCATCATTTACCAAACAGTTGACGGTAGCCATTAACTTCCATAGTATTTTTTCCATAATGGCTACCATCAGCTGTTTGGTTACCAACAATTTTTTTTTCGATTCTCTATTTATGCAAGTATGACATCCACGTCAATCTAACTGGGGTAGATGGATCCAAACACAATTTTAAAATAACCTTTTTGGCAGCAGTAAGAGCAGCAAACAGAATCCTTTTTTGATTGACAGACCGTGATTACTCTATATGTGCCTTAATATTACTGCACGTGTTGGTCTGTGTAGAGTGGTGCATCCTGGGACGGGTCGTGTTCTGGAGGTGAGCACTACACAGCCTGGGGTTCAGTTCTACACGTCCAACTTCCTGGATGGGACATTGAAAGGAAAGGGTGGAGCTGCTTACTCCAAACACAGTGCCTTCTGTTTAGAGACCCAAAACTGGCCAGATGCTGTTAACCAGGTACTGTAAATGAATTAAAAGTACATTTTAGTTCAGACCAAAATAAATAGTAAAACGTACACTATTCAAAAGTTTGAGGTCAGTAGGATATTATTTTTGATACTGCTATTCTGTTGGGTGATCAAAGTTGACACTAAAGACAATGTTGCAAAATGTTCTTCTGAACTTTCTACTAATCAGAAAATCCTGAAAATAATACTTCAAAATTTTACTGTATTTTCGATCAAATAATACAGCCTTGGTGTGCATGAGACGTAAATTAAATTGTTCAAACAATTTAATAGATATATATATATATATGTATATATGTGTGTGTGATGTTTTTGCTTTATAAAGAAAGCTAATGTTTCTGAATTAATGAGAGATCTCTTGTCTCTTCTCAGCCTCATTTTCCTGATGCTCTGCTGAGGCCAGGAGAGACGTACACACACACAACATGCTTCACATTCTCAGTGCTCTGAAATTACATCAGCATGTGAAGTTTACTTTTACATAACGGTACACAACTGCACACTTTTCTAGCAGAATGTTACATGACCAACATAATGTACTGCTTCTATGACCATGATATTGTATTTCTAGAGTTTGCTCATGTTTTAGTAGGGGATATTTGTTCCCCCTACCATAAATCCTACACTAACACGATTACTACTAAAAGTTAAAAGACATGAAGGTTTGCTTGTAATCATACATTTTAATGTCATCTAATAAAAACAAAGCCTGTAATTTGTTTACAAAATATAATTTTTTTGAGGTGAATACCATAATAGCGTTATCCAAAAAAATGCAGTCATGTAATGAGACAGCTGTAACATTTTTAAATTTACACATCCTTCACAAAGCCAATGTCAGACAGAAGCTCTGCAAACTGCCTTTTAAGACATGCTATCTCCTGAGAGAACACACACGCAGAGCAGTTATGGTATGCCTAAATGACTGATATCTACACTGAGCCAATCAGAGTCCAGTCTCACCTGTAAGCCTCGGATCGAGAGGAAGTTCTCTCTGCAGAACTGGTAACCAGCCTTAAAGCCGCCCTGTGCTGCGTTACACCAACCCTAAATAGAACAATTGGCAGCAGTAAGAGCAGCAAACAGAATCCTTTTTTGATTGACAGACAATGACAGCGACGAATCATCCAGCAAAAGAAAAAGCAGTGGGTCCTTTTGGATCCGAGTCTTCAGAAGGTCCGACAATAAGTCCTGTACCAAGGACCAAAGCAACGCAATTCGGGAACAGTCCCAGAACATATGTATGTACCTTGACTTGAACTATTACACAGGTGACAGAGGGGGTCAGACTTTCTTTTCATTTTAAATAATAAACAGGGAGTGGCATATGCCTTATAGATTAATTTATAATGAATAATTTGGTGAGCTGGGTTTTTAGCGGTAGCAAAACAATTTCCCCAGACATTGTCCCAATCAATCACGGCATTAAGTTCTCTTTCCCAGAAACCCTCAGTTGGAATGTTTGAATACTGTCGTACCACAAGTGATTTATAAATTATACTCACAACACCTCTAGAAGCCATACTAGAATCTATCCAATTTACCATAGGATGAGGAGATATTTTAATCGACCAGGGTACTCCATAAGCTTTCAGTGCAGGTCTTAATCTCTAAATTCATCCTTTAGGATCTGAAAGGACTTGAGCCCATAATCATTGTACAGGTCCTTTAAAGTGTAAATACCACATTTAACCCAGCATTTGGAAACGAATGGTTTGTTACCAGTACAAAGATTATTATTATGCCAAATGGGGGTAGAGTCACTGTAAGTATCTGAAGCTCCCCATAATCTTTTCTGCTGCTTTCCAGGTTTTGATAGAATGGCATATAATTGGACCAAACTTTTCCAGAACTTTCTTAGATATTCCAGTGAAGGGTAAATCCTGTAGACGCAATGGGTATATAATATTAGTTTCTAAAGCCCGCCATGGGACAGGGGAGTTGACGTCTAGCCACGTCCTAAGTGGTCTCATCTGGTATGCTAGATAAAGAGCGGATGTAGTTTAGGTGAGATAGTTACAGAGAAGTTGACAGACGAGGGGTGTATGTGGACGGCTCCATCACTCTTGGTCATGAAGCACAGCTCCTCTGCTTTAGGCTGCATCTTCACAGCTCCTTTACTAGTGAGCTTATACTTCCCCTGAGGAGATCTCACCTAAATAAAGCATGGCGTGTTTCATACACATTCACATGAAACATCTTACACACCAGTTCAGAGAAATCTGTGCACTGACCTGGACTACATTAGGGTAGAGAGCCGCACACAACATGGCTGACATCAGCTTTGTGTTATCAGAGTTCAGGTTGGCCTGTGAGGGACAGAAAAACAAAAGAACAGGTCACATGTTGTGAGTTGATGGTTTTTACCGAAAATGTTTATACAACTTGTATTGATTTTACCCAAGAGTCTAAAACAACACATACTTAAACCTACCACTGAACAATTTCTGTCCAGAAGAGATGGGATAAAACATCTTACAAATAGTTTTGAAAACAGCACATTTTCCAAACTGATGTTAATCAAAGAATGATCACTAGAATATGTGATCAAATTTCATCTAATGTTCTCTTTTTTTTAACATAATTATATTACACTGATATTCATTAACACTCGCTACATCTAAAACAAGCAGTCTTAGACTGTTAATAAATAAATTAAATATTTAATTTAAAAACAAAAATATTTATATAAATATTGGCTCACCATTGGACTTATTTGATCAAAAATACAGTAAAAAAAAAAAAACAGTAATATTGTGAAACATTACAATTTAAAATAATGTCATGTCACATGATCCTTCAGAACTCATTCTAATATGCTGATTTGCTGGTCAAGAACATTTATTATTATCAAAGTTGCAAACAGTTGTGCGGCTTAATATTTTTGTGGAAACGGTGATTATTTTTTAAATTTATCTTCTAATATCAGCCTAATAAAACCAATTGCGAGAATAAAAAAACAAAAACAAATAAAGAACCGAATGAGATGCAGACGCCTGTTGATGGAAATAAAAAAAATGTTCCTGTAAAATACACGAAATCTGAAAGCATAATAAAATTATTCAACAAATTAAGAAAAAAAAAAAAGAACAAGAAAGTGGTGAAGGATGTGTATACCATTATGAATTGTAGTCATTAATTTGATCAGAGCCTGAACTGACCTTGTACGCCTGCAGCAAGGCCAGATGGTCGCTGTTTGCCAGAGAGAACCCCAACTTCTTCTCGTTAGCTTCCTCTCGTTTATCCCAGGGAGACACCTGCGAGTATGGCAGGATCTCAGGTCACAGTACTGCGCTGGAGAAATAGCTTCCACATGTGTCTGGTGACTTACGAATGGACTCTTGAAGGCCAGGCTAGCGGCGATGGTGAGGGCAGGGTCCAGGCAGCGGAAGATGGCTCCCAGCAGCATGAGTTTACCGATGCGGACGTCCACAGGCAGACAGGCCAAATGCCAACCGAGGGGAGTCAGAGACTCCTCGTCCGTCAAGGCGCCCAGGGCACACAGGCGCTGTTTAGCGGCCTCCAGACTGCCCTCTGCGGGCGGCTCAATAAGCTGAGAGAAAACTGACTCCAGAGGACGCTCCGTAAACACCTCCAACACCTTAACCCTGGGACAGAAAAATTGTAACTATTAAGATCTAAACAAATCACATGAAGTTTGCTTGTGTTGAAGGAATAGTTTACCCAAAAATGAAAATTTGCTTTTCAAGATGTAGATGAGTTTGTTTCTTCAAGGGGAACAGATTTGGAGAAATTTAGCATTTCATCACTTGCTCACCAGTGAAGTGAATGGGTGCCGTCAGAATGAGAGTCCAAACAGCTGATAAAAACATCACAATAATCCACAAGTAATCCACACGACTCCAGTTCAGTTAATCAGTTAATGTCTTGTGAAGTAATAAGCTGCATGTTTGTAAGAAACAAATCCATCAAGATGTTTTTAACATTCAAACTTTGCTTCTGGCTAAAATACACACAAGCCCACTATCCATAATATTGCTTTCTCCAAACGTTGTCTCGTCTAAATCAGGAGTGAAATATACACAGATCAAGCAAGCACTGGTTTACAAGCAAAAACAGTCCAAAACTGTTCTAAACAAATATTTCGGTGGATTTGGATATAAGAGGACAACAGTTGATGGAATTTGTCACTAGAGGAAGTGTTATTAGGGATTACGGATTTTGGCCAGAGATTTTAAGTTAAATAGCCTTAATGATGGATTTGTTTCTTACAAACACAGTTTTTCACATCACAAGACATGAACCGATGGACTGGAGTGGTGTGGATTACTTGTGATGTTTTTATCAGTTGTTTGAACTCTCATTCTGACGGCACCCATTCACTGCAGAGGATCCATTGGTGACCAAGTGATGTAATGCTACATTTCTACAAATCTGTTCTGATGAAGAAACAAACTCATTGACATCCTAGATGGCCTGAGGGTGCATTTCAGTACATTTTTCCACCACATAATCCACCACATAATTTTGGGGTGAACTACTCCTTTATTTAAAGGTTTTTTGTTTCAACAGGGTTGTTTTAAGGTGGTTACCTTAGACAGAGCTGCTCCAGGGGAACTCTTTGAATCTCAGGCAGCTGCTGTTGGCTCAGGTGATGTGTGAAGCGATGTCTTGTAAACAGATGGAAGCAGACGCCTGACGCCACACGACCAGCACGGCCTTTTCTCTGGAGAGCATTGGCACGAGACACCCATACGTCCTCTAGACTCTCCATACTGCGACTAGCATCGAGCAGACGCCTGACGCCACACGACCAGCACGGCCTTTTCTCTGGACAGCATTGGCACGAGACACCCATACGTCCTCTAGACTCTCCATACTGCGACTAGCATCATACCTAATACATGCACAAACATATGACAATGCATCCAAAACCACAAAGAATATTCAATGTTAACCAAGAAAAATAAATAATCTATGTTTGGACAGCGTCTCAAACCTCTTCTCCTTCATCCGGCCAGAGTCTATGACATACACCACATCGTCAATGGTGACAGAAGTTTCAGCGATGTTGGTGGAGATGATGATTTTGGTCACACCCTCATGTGGGCGGGTAAAGACCGCCTGCTGCTCCTCATTGGACAGGGACGAGTGTAGAGGATACACTACACACCTAAAAAATTTTACACACAATCATAAATATATATCATCATCCACTTTTTACAGGTGAATCTGAAAAACCAAAACATGTCCAGGTTGCATTTCAGCCCATAATCATTGCTTCATTAAAAATGATTTTTATATATTAACAAACATAAAAGTTTGGGGTCAGTAAGACTTTTTAAAATTTCTCAAAGAAGTCTATTATGTTCACCCAGGTGGCATTTATTTGATCAATTTAATGCATTTTTGCTAAATAAAAGGATTAACACCTTTAAGCCCTGAGGGCATTTTTGCCTCACTGAAGTTGATGTTTTTCTGAGTGACTTAGACAAAATGAATGACTCATAACTTGAATACTGTGGCAAGGAGAGTCAGAAGGTTGGTATCGTTTAATAGATTTTTATATATTAACAAACATAAAAGTTTGGGGTCAGTAAGACTTTTTAAAATTTCTCAAAGAAGTCTATTATGTTCACCCAGGTGGCATTTATTTGATCAATTTAATGCATTTTTGCTAAATAAAAGGATTAACACCTTTAAGCCCTGAGGGCATTTTTGCCTCACTGAAGTTGATGTTTTTTCTGAGTGACTTAGACAAAATGAATGACTCATAATTTGAATACTGTGGCAAGGAGAGTCAGAAGGTTGGTATCGTTTAATAGAAAACTTTCTGTACTTTCAGAAGGAATCATTTCATTTGGACATTCTCCTGCTGAGAAATAGCTGATAAAAATGTAAGAAAAATTTGAGTGCTCAAGAGACATTTTTCATATCGGTCTTATTTGACATTCAATATCTCCGGACAGAAATAAGGTAGGAGGAAAATTCTATTTTGGTGATGGTCCCCAGCATGTTAGCTGTATCTGTTTCAAATTTTTTGGTGATAGCATAAAGTATCCAAAAGCTACAGTATTTTGTAACAAAATAGGCCTTTTTGTTTAGCTCTTGACTCCCTGAAGGAATTTTTAAAACTGTTGTTTTCTGAGAACCATAAACAAAAATAATGACTCATAACTCCAAGACCGTAGCAAGGAGAGTCAAAATGTAGGTATGGTTTGATAGAAATCTTTCTATATTTTTAGGGGGGGAAATCTTTGCATTTGAATATTCTCATGTTGAGAAATAGGTGATAAAATGTAATAAAAAATTTGTGTGGTCAAGGGAAATTTTTCATATTCTTATTTCAAAGAAATAAGGTAGGATAAATTTTTTTGGGTAATGTTCCCCAACATGTGTGCTGTATGTGAATTACATTTTGTTATCATGAAATAATCCGAAGTTACAGTATTTTGAACCAAGGTAGCCCTTCTCTTAGCCCTTGACAGTTTTGAAATTGTTGTTTTGAATTTGAAATAATGCCTGACTCAAGTTTAGTCGAAGCCCCAAACAATTATACTTCTTTTATTCTACTCATGAGACCTTTCAAATGACATATGACACATGACAATCCGAGCTGTATGATGTTTTTGACATTTTAGAGTACATGGCACAAAAAACATTTTGTAAATTATGATTTTTTATTTTTTTTGTAATTTATCAGCAAATAACTCGGCACTACTTTGGAGTTAATCAAAGTGGCTACATGCATTGTAAAGCTCAGATTCTAAGCTTTCAACTGATATCCGTTTTTGAAGGCAGTGGTTTGAAAAATATGATTAGTAATATTTTCGTGGAGGGGGGCGTCCCGCCCGTGATACACTTCGGTTTAGAGGGACTGCTCAGCGCTCGTTAGGAGTTGATCAATGATACCCGTTTTGTGTTATTCCATTCAGGGGTTGCTTAGCAATTTGATTATGAATTTTT